AGCACTCTACCACTTGAGCCACACCAACACTTCTGGCTTTTCTTCTGTTTATGTGATATTGAGGAATTGAACCCAGGGATTAATGCATAGTAGGCCAACACTCTACCACTAAGCCACATTCCCAGCCCTCTTAACGTTTTTGTTAGCACTCTACCACTTAAGCCACAGCTTCACTTCAGACTTTTGGTGGTTTATTGGAGATTAATTTCTCAGTGTTTAGCTGTCTGGGTATGAGCCACTAGTGCCTGGCCAAAACATCTCTACCTGAGTCAATATAGTACTTGAGCACTTTCAGATTTTGGTATCCCCTGGAGGTTCTGGAGCCAATCCCCAATAGATGCCAACTGTATGTAGTCTAGCAACCAACTGAAAACAACTCAACTTAGGAAACAGAACATGGAGACAAAAACCTGACCTTTTCAGAAAAATCAAACTTTTTAAACTCCAAAGGATAGTAGTTTGTTTTTCAAAGATTACCTCATTTTTGCTGTAATCTGTGAATTTTAAGTATTACATTGTATGGTTTATAGAAATACTAATTCAAGAAGAACCTTGCCAGAGCTGGCTCGGGGTGATAGGACATGACACATTGGACCCACCAGTCTCATTCTCCTTACAGTATGACTGCTCATGTGTGTGTGTGTGTTATTTTTTTATTTTTATTTTTGCCAGTCTTAGGGCTTGAACTCTGGGCCTGGGTGCTGTCCCTCAGCTCTTCACATCAAGGCTAGCACTCTACCACTTGAGCCACAGCACCACTTCTGGCTTTTTCTGCTTATGTGGTGCTGAGGAATCAAACCTAGGGCCTCATGCATGCAAGGCAAGCACTCTACCACTGAGCCACCTTCCCAGCCCCAATTTTTTTTTCTTTTTTCTTTTTTTTTTAAAAAAAAGCACTCCTGGGCTGGGAAGATGGCTCAGTGGTAGAGTGCTATTGGGGCTGGGAAGGTGGCTCAGTGGTAGAGTGCTTGCCTTGCATGCATGAGGCCCTGGGTTCAATTCCTCAGCACCATGTAAGTAGAAAAAGCCGGAAGTGGCACTGTGGCTCAAGTGGTAGGTAGAGCGCTAGCCTTGAGCTGAAGAGCTGAGGGACAGTGCCCAGGCCCAGAGCTCAGGCCCCACTACTGACACACACACACACAAAAAAAGCACTCCTTTATATTTGCTTGTACCAAACCTTAGGAAATCCTCATTTTTATCCAAAGTAAGACCAATGAGTATATACTTACCCCAATTTATGCTAATGAATTATTAGTGACCTATTTCATTTGAACAATTTTTAAAAATGCATAGAGACTAGTAGCTTGTACCTGTACCTGAGAAGCTGAGATGTGTGGATTCCAGTTCAAAGCCAGCCAGAGCTGGCTAATTGGAGATAAGAATTTCATATCTCCAGTTAACCAGCATAAATCCAAAAGTGGAGGTGTAGCTCAAGTGCTACAGGCCAACTTTGAGCAAAAAAGTTAAGCAAGAACACACGAATTAGAATTCAAACATGAGTACCAGCGTGCACACGCACACACACCAATGCAAAGAAATGTTGGAGGTACACAAAACTATGTGAAACTTGCTAATGAGTTTCATCAGTGATATAATAAACTTTCTTACAGAAGAAAAGATTAGAGGGAGAGATGTAATTTTTCTTCTTTAGAATGTCTATAATTAGGCTCGTTTACCTCACAGATGGGCTAGTGTATGAAATCCCATATGTTCACATTATGAGTTCCACAAAAAGATTTTCTAAATCTTGTGAGAGCCATCTCATCCAAAATATCTACTTCCCTAGTGGTATTTAAGACTAGAAAAGATGCCTTTGAAGATAGATGTCTTCTGTGAAACTTCAGTGCTTAGCTCTGACATCGTTTGACAGTCTTATTAGCTTTACTAGTCTTCTAGCTATTGGCTAATAACAGTTGTACTTAAAGACACTGTCTCCATCACCAAAGCTTGAATCTAGTGCTTTGGGCATTTTTACTGTCCCACTGCCATTTCTACTGCCCTCCTGACTCCCTCCCAGCCCCAGACTCCTAAGCCCTCTCCACTCTCAAATCTGTTCCCTGGATGATCTGACCACCAGATGCCTTCCTGCTACTTGGATTACCCTTCCCTTCTCAGTAAATTTCCTGAGGCCTAAATGCAAACTAATCAGCATGCCTGTATAGTTCTTGGAACCATTCCTGCAACATTCCCTCCTCTGCCTACCTATTCTCTCCCTAGCTGTCCTTTGATGTGTACATCCTCTGCAAGACCCCACCGCCACCCAACTGTGTCCAGTCTCCTCACAGTCCCACTTTCTTCCAAGGCAAGGAGAGTTCGCACTCATAGCCGTTGACCTCTCGATTCCCATAAAACTCATCCCACGTCACGTAAAAACAATTTCCTGTGCTTCTGACTCGTGTAGCTCCGTTTAGAGGGCATTTTCCTTGTATTCCTCTACCTCAGGAAATTGCCTAGAACCTTCTCTGGAGCAGGCACGGCCCTCACTAACACAGCTACCTCACAGGCTGAAACTGCTCTGTGGAAGTGTTGGCAGTAATTTCATTTGCAGATGGGGAAGTGGGGAGGTAGTGGGGGTGGATGAAAAATCCTGACTATAAATCTCTAAATCAGCCCAAATTTTTGTTTAAATATAGTCCTTTCCTTTCTGGTGGCTGGTATAATCATCTTCTCTCCCTGAATATGCTTTATGTTTTTTTCCCCCTTCTTGTATCAATTTTCTCTTCCTTGTGCATATATGTTTTCATTCTAAGTCAGCTGAATCCCTCCTTAGAGTATGAATAATTTCTCTGAAAATCCTTAGTGACAGAGCCAAATATAGTAGTCTTGATTTTTACTTTTTAGCCTGTACCTCTTCTTACACTGGTTTTTACCTCAGATTAAAACTGATTTTCAATGAAATTGGCACATACGTATTAATGGCTTTAAAACTAGCTCCAAAATCCATCTTTGAGATTTGATAATCCTAAACTTGATCGTTTAAAATCTGGACTGCAAGTGAAATGTTTGATAATAAGCAGAGCTTAAGGTTGATGGACTTATTCTTGGCTGCAGACCTGACCCTACACGAGTCATCTTGTAATTAGCTTTCCATGATTATTATGAATACCCAAGGTAACTAAATTAGAAGGAGAAAGGCTTATTTTGGCTTACAGTTGGGGAGTTTCCAGTCCATGCTCAGATGGACTTCTGCTGGAGAGTGGGGGCCTCTTCAAGACAGGAACTTGAGTCAGCAAAAACCATTCACCTCCTGGCCAATGAGAGAGAGAGGAAGAGACAAAGGGTCCTTCAAAGCCATGCCCCAATGACCTAAAACCTGTCTATACCCACCTTCCAATTCACAGGCTGGGACTGAGTCTTTGGAGAAGATCTCTCTCCTCCTTTTGAGGGCACTCCCAGCCTGTTTTGCTGAGCTTATTTCACGTCTCCTCTCACCCCTTTTCCGGAGTCTTCAGTCTTCACTTCCACAGGCTACTTGTGCCCTGGCTGTATCATAAAATGCCTCCTATAGTCCGGGGCCTATGGTTCATATCTATAATCCTAGCTACTCAGGAGGCTGAGATCTGAGGATTGCCATTTGAAGCCAGTTTGGGCCAGGAAGGTTTATGAGACTTTTATCTGGAATTAACCACCAAAAAGCCAGTAGTGGAGTTGTGGCTCAAACAGAATGCCAGTCGTGAGCAGATAAACGTTAAGAGCTCAAGGCCCTGAGTTCAAACCTTGGTGTAGGCACAAAAATAAAACTAAGATATTAAACATTTTAAAAATCTTTCCTGGGCTGGGAAGGTGGCTCAGTGGTAGAGCCCTTGCCTTGCATGCCTGAGGCCCTGGGTTCGATTCCTCTGCACCACATAAAAAAAAGAAAAAAGCCGGAAGTGGCGCTGTGGCTCAAGTGGTAGAGCGCTAGCCTTGAGCTGAAGAGCTGAGGGACAGCACCCAGGCCCAGAGTTCAGGCCCCATGACTGGACCCAAAAAAAAAAATCTTTCCTAAGATTCTGGATAGAGTAGTTTCCCGTCCATACTTTGATGTCTCATTCCCACCACACCCCCACCTTCCAATGCAGGCTTCCAGACTCCTAAGCCGCCCCGGCCCCCTAAGACTGCCTTTGTGCAGTCCATCCTATGGCACCCACAGCATCTCAATTCCCTGATGAGCAAGCTCCATGCTGGGGGACATTGAATCCATCCAGCGCTAACACGGTTGGATTTCATATTATGATATGTGGTGAGGTTATACAAATATACATAGACATAAAGATTTTCGGTGGTCTGTATCTCCAGAGTTTTTATTCAGAGGATCAGAGGTGGGGCCTGAGAACTTTCCAGTAAGTTCCTGGGTGATGTTATAAGAACCACTGGGCAGGGGCTGGGGAGGTGGCTCCGTGCATGCATGAGGCCCTGGGTTCGATTCCTCTGCACCACATAAACAGAAAGAGCTGAAATTAGCGCTGTGGCTCAAGTGGTAGAGCGCTAGCCTTGAGCTGAAGAACTGAGGGGCAGCGCCCAGGCCCAGAGTTCAGGCCCCACGACCAAAAAGAAAAGAAAGAACCACTGGGCAAGAAAAATAGCCAGCCCAGCCTTCCTCTCCTCTTCCTCTTCCCTCCCGGCCCTGGTCCGTCCTTCCTCCCCCGCGGTCCCTCCGGGTCTCCCGCGGCCCCCACCGCCTGCTGACCCCAGCGGGACGGCATCGAGTCTGCAGAGCTTCCCGCACCTTCCCGCACCGTGGCACGGTGAATTGTCCCCTCTGCAGTGACCGTTGGGGTCTTTCTAGGAAGGTTAAGACAGAGGCCCACTGTGGGGGTGAGCGCCCAGGAACAGACCTGGTCCCCGGGCTGGCCGGGGCCCCGGCAGGGGGCGCCAGCGCGCAGGCCACGGCCGCCCGGTCAGCCTCGACACCGGAGTCAGGTCTGGGCCGGGGCCGGCAGGGGCGGGGCGCCGGGGCGTGGACACCGCGGGGACAGGGGCTTAAGTAGCTGCGGGCCCGAGCGAGGGTGGAAGGAAGCTGGGTCCGGACTCGCACCCAGACCCGACCCGACCCGCCCCCAGCCAGCCCTGACTGCGCCATGCGGGGACCCGTCCTGGCTCTGTGGCTTTTCCTGTCCCTGCGCACTGGTGAGGCCCTGCCGTGGGGTCTGCCGCGGGGAGGGGGGTCCTGGGGCGCTCCTGCACCCCAACACCGGGGCTGGCAAGGATGGCCCGAGCGGCTCCCAAGGAGGGAAGAGGCGCCCCGAGGGCTTCGTGGAGGCGGCGGCCTTGAGCGGGGCTTTGAAAAGGCTTCTGGGGGAGAGGAGTGGGTTCGAGGCAGCTTGGGGAGCGCTTTGGGGCGCCGGGGGTGGGCCAGGCCATGGAAGGTGGTGTTTCCTGTTGAACATAGAAGCTGTGAGAGAGTGTGAGGGACAAAGCCACTTTATTCTCCCGCACCCCAAGTTGGCAGACAGGGAGGAGGCGCGCGGGGCCAGGCTGGGGGCCCCTGAGACACCACCCTGGGGAGCCCCCAGAACGGTACTTGAGCCGGGACCCCAGGAGCCGCTGGCTGATGGGAAGGTGGCTGACACCAGCAGGATGGAGTTCGCTGGGGAAGGGGCTGCGGCCAGGCCGGCGGGCAGGTGGGCTGAGAAACGCGGGAGGAGGCAGATGCGGTTTGACCCCTGCCGGGAACAGGGGTGCACAGGCGCCATGGGAGGGAGACCTGGCCTGGGGCGGGACGGGGACTGCACCGTGGAGCGCAGGCCGCTGTCAGGTCTGCTAAGCCATCAACCTCCTGGAAACTGGGGGGGGGGGGGGGGCTGGTCCAATGGGCCCCCCAGCAGGGAGCTGCCTGGGACTCTGACCTGATCAGATTATGGGGCTCAAGAGGAAGTTGGAGCTCTGTGCATAGCACAGAAGGTGGATTTTCTCATCTGCTTTCTGTGGGGGGAGAGGGGAAACAGGCCCAGAGAGGTGAAGTAAGTTACTTGAAGTCACCAGCGAGAGAGCCATGACCTCGGACCCTACCTGCTGTCTCCTGTTTGCATGGGGCCTGGCCCTGTACCCACGGCCAGAGGGCAGCCACCTCTTCTCACATCATGAGAAGGGCTCCAGGACCAGGAGGGATCCTAGCCCAGGAGCCTTTTTGTTCTGTTTTGTTTTGTTTTGAGGCCTGGATGGGGCACAAATTTTCCAAGGACCTACACACACACACACACACACACACACACACACACGTGCTCCTTCTTCTGGCTCAGCCCCAGGCAGGTGGGCAGGCCTGAGTGGGAGACGTCCATCTTCTGCAATGAGCCAGGTTCTGGGCCACACTCCTGCCAAACACCCCTGGCCCTGGCCAGAGAGGCTGTGAGGATAGTTTGGCCCTGCCTGAGCGCCTCGATGTGTCCGGTGCCAGGGGAGAGCTGTGGTGGGCTGGCCGGTCCACACAGCAGGGGCTGGGCCTCACTGTCCCCTCCCCCAGCGCTCAGCGGGATGGAGGTGCGGTGGTGCACCACCTCAGACCCGGAGCAGCAGAAATGTGGCGACATGAGCAAGGCCTTCCAGGAAGCGGGCATCCAGCCCCCCCTCCTCTGCATCCAGGGCACCTCGGTGGACCACTGCTTCCAGCTCATCGCGGTGAGGCCCCTCCCTTCCACCCTGCTCCCGGCCACTGGCCCAGTCAACAGGGCTCTGACTCAGGAGGCCACACAACGGGCCTCATTCACTGCCATGGTACAGCTATCCCTGCACCAGGCTGGGCGATAGGATCTCCTGAGTTTCCTGGCAACATAAGGGCTGGTTTGTTTCCTGCCAGGCCCAGGCCAGGTGGGAGGTGCAGGGTAGTGGTTCAGCAGGAAGGCTGCGGTCCAAGTGGGTGCCCGTCATTCCCCTACGCTTTGAGAGTCAAAGTTTCCCTTCCAAGAGGCTTCTGCTTGAGTAGGGACACCACCCACCCAGCCTTGGGGGCAGGGGACAGATGGCTGTGACCTCTCAGTGGCTCATGGTGTTTACTTACTCTGCCCTGGAGTTTTCCAGAATGGGACTTGTATGGTTTCTGGGGGAGGAGTAGGTCCTGGGTGGGGAGAGGCAGGAGACCCACTGAATCAACAATGACCATCTTCAGGCAGGGCAGGCAGGGCAGGGAGGATCTTCATTGCAGATCAGCCCCAGGTATGCACAGGGCCTCATCCAACCATGGATGCATGTGGCCCAAGGCCTTAAGGCAATACTCTTGAACAAGAGTCCGCTCACAGCCCCAAAACATGCAGGTAGGGCAAAGAGGAAAAGAAAAGAAATGAAGAAGACATGATGGGACTCAGGCTGTGTCAAATTATGGGATTCAAGCAATGTTGACAGTCTCGGAGGGAAACCCAGGTTACAGCCATAACAGACAGAAACGGGAGAGTAAGAATGACTCACTTCTACCATTTTATACTGCTTTTTACTTTATACACCTAATATGATTATGTAAAATTAGTCATTCATATTTTAGGGAGATTTTTGTTTGTATGTCAGTCCTGGAGCTTAAACCTTAGGGCCTGGGTACAGTCCCTGAGCCTTTTTGCTCAAGACTAGTGCTCTATTACTTGAACTACAGCTCCACTTCCATCTCTTTGGTGGTTAATTGGAAATAAGAGTCTCACAGACTTTCCTTCCTTGGACTGGCTTCAAACTCTGATGCTCAGATCTCAGCCTCCTGAGCAGCTAGGATTACAGGTATGAGTCACCAGTGCTCAGCTTACTTCATGCTCAGCTTACAGGTGAGGTACAAAAGGGTTACAGTTACATAAGTCAGGTAAAGAATACGTTTATTTTTGGACAATGTCACCCTTCCCTCCCTCTCTCTGTTTTTTCCCTCCCTATCCACATACCATTTTTAAGTAGCGTATTTAGTAAAGCAAGATGACTGACTGACTTTGGGAAGTCAATCTTGTCCTAGATGGAACCCTGAACGGGGCCAAAATGGGGCTCCTGGGCGAGATGAAGAGGGCAATGTTAGACCCTAGGGCCCTGGGCCACCTCTAGCTGTCCCAAATGCCTCACTACAGAGAACCGAAGCCAATTGACCTGACTGACACTTTTTTTTTTTTTAACCAGGCCCAGGAGGCTGATGCCATTACTGTGGATGGAGGAGCCATTTATGAGGCAGGAAAGCAGCACGGCCTGAAGCCCGTGGTGGGCGAAGTGTATGATCAAGGTACGGGGCACTGTGGAGCAGAAGAGATAAGGAGGGCAAGGCCCCACCCAGAAGTCACTTCACCAGAATAGCATGGGTGACCTGTGACCTTATAGCATCTAAGCTGGTCCTTAGCTCTGTCCACAGAGCACTCTAGAGTCCTAGGCAGACAAACTGGTCTTTTCTTGGGGGGGAGGGGGTCCAGTCATGGGGCCTGAAATCTGGACCTGGATGCTGTCCCTCAACTCTTCAGCTCAAGGCCAGTGCTCTACCACTTTGAGTCACTCCTGGTTTTCTGATGGTTAATTAGAGATAAGAGTCTCATGGACGTTCCTGTCTAGGCTGGCTTTGAACCGTGATCCTCAGATCTCAATCTCCTGAGTAGCTAGGATTACAGGTGTGAGCCACTGGCACTCGGCTCAAACTGGTCTTTTTCCAAACCCAGAATACAAAGAGCTGGCCCAAGTGTGTTCTCCATGAGCCCCACTGAGGGAATGCACCTTACTTGGTGCAGTGCTAGGCATGGAGAAAATTGCAATTACCCTGGGCATACGGCTAGGGACAGGTGGTGACCATGTCAGGGCCCAACAGCCCTAGACACACATGCCAGGCGAGTGAGCACCTTTACCCAGGCCCACAGATGACACCAGCCCTGCTGGGCTCTGCCTGTCTGCACCCAGCCTCAACCATCCTATGGGTCACAATGTGACTTGGTACCTGCTACCTGGAGCCCCTCCCACTCCTGCAAAGGAGTGTTCCATCCCTCGGGCCTGCCTTGCCCCCATGTGCCTCTGCCAAGACTCTGCCCCTGTCCTGTCTGTCCTCTAGCAGGGCCTAGACCTCACCCTCTTGTGTTCTCTGGAGAAAACACTGCTTTATTAGCGATGTCCCATGATGCAAGACACAGTGCAATCCTGCAGGCCTGGCAGGGCTCAAATGCCAGAAACAGCCTGTCCCCATGGGTTCAAGCACAGCTCTTCCTCTTCAATTAATTCAACATTGCTACAGGGTGCCTACTGCAGCCTGGTCAGGAACACCAGAAAGCAAGCAAGAAAAACCCTGTTTCTGCCTCCAGCTGCACCAAGAAATACCCATGGGTCAGCTGTTCTGAAGAACAGGAAAAGCCTTGAGAAAGAGGGATGTGCGGAAAGCCTACGAAGCCAGGCAGATATAAGGGGTGCTTGAAGTGAGACACATTTAAGCTGAGCCCCAACAGTCATTTCTTCATGGCTCCAGAAACTAGAAAAAAGGAGAGTGAATGGTAGAGGAGGTAGGGAACTAGACTCAGGTGTAAAATAGAGCACTGGCTTTATTTTCTAGAAGTCAACCTTGTTCTGATCTTAGGCATCCTACCACTTCACTGGGGGAGGGGAGACATTGGTGTGTGACATTCATAAGCCCTCTGACCATCAGCTCTATAGATGAGTCTGTGTCTTGTCTGAATGACCCTTCTTGGGCCATGCTTGCCCTAGAGACACCCTGCATCCCAAAGCTAGTCAGGGTCTTGAGTGATCTGGGACCCCATCACAAGTTCTGTCTACACACACACACACACATTCCCTTCAGTACCAGTCAGGTCCCAACTCTGCTTTGCCTGTTCCCCTTCTCACAACTACGGTCCCTCCATAGCCAAGGTGCCTGTCCCACAAGCCTTCTGTGTTCTCCTAAGTTTCAGGCTTTTGGAAAACAAAAGACTTCCAGGCAAGGTGCAGCCCCAGCCAAGGGCCAGCTGGCTAGAGAAGGAAATCCATGAATGAGTTGCTATCTTGATTGTGTCTGTCTCCTGGGGTTGCAGGAGGGCAGGGTCTCCTGGTGAGATGTGGATTGCACCCCCTTGCTTTCTTAGCACATGTCCATGCATGTATGCACATGCATGCACACATGTGCATGCTTACACATCCATCCTCCCCCCCCCAGCCTCCCTCCAGGCCTCTCCCTGACTACCCTCACTCCTCACCTCTTCTCCCCTAGAGGTTGGGACCTCCTATTATGCAGTGGCTGTGGTAAAGAGGAACTCCAGCGTGACCATAAACACCCTGAAAGGTGTGAAGTCTTGCCACACAGGCATCAACAGGACAGTGGGCTGGAACGTGCCTGTGGGCTACCTGGTGGAGAGCGGCCGCCTCTCAGTGATGGGCTGTGATGTACTCAAAGGTGAGGCCTTCCTGCCTCCACACAGAACTCTAGGCTTCTCCTCACCTGTCCTTTCTTCCTCTCATACTTTCTGGGGGGGGGGAGAGGAGGGGAAGGGAGAAAGAGGAGGGAAGAGCCCTCAGTCCCCAATTTCATCCTGAACCCCCTTAAGATGCAAGTAAAGTCTCACCTCCTGCTGGGCCTTCACACATAGAGTCACTCCCTGCCACTCTGCTGGCCTCCATTTGAGTTTCTGGCTGGCTGTCCCCAATAGGACGCACAGTTCTAGCTCATACATCACCATGGCCCATAGGTCACAGCCAGGCACAAGAGCAGGGAGTCAGAGAACCACTGAGGAGAGGCTCCCACCTGAGGTAGCCCAATGGTGGGGGGACACTATGTCTAGAAACATGTGGTAAGCTTTAAAGGTACAGACAGTCTGTGCTGGGTACGGCTGACTTGACCCCAAAAGTTCCCTAGTCTAATGGTCCTGGCCAGCCTGGGAGCCACAGCCTCTTAGGTGACCAGGGGTGGGGTGGCTTATCAGTCTCACAGCATATTTAAGAAAGATTGCTCCTCTAGGAGGACCCAGAGAGGCCAAGATGGGATCCCTCCTAGCTTGGTGATGAGCATGGCCTGGAGGCAGGTGGTAGGTAGGGCAAGATCCTCCCTTCCAAATATTTGTGAAGAGATTGTATATGGGGCCTCGGTATTGGCAGAGCCCTAATATGGTTCGGGTCAGCAGGTGGGACCTCTTGCTCTCCAGGGCCCTCTTTATTTACCTCCCCTGCTCATTAGGTAAGGCAAGCCTCATTCATGCACACCACTGATTTGGTTGAACCCTACAGCAAGCAGTGTTCACTGGACTCCTAATTCCTTTCCTGTGTGGACAGTTACAAGCTGTTGTGTCCCTATGATACTTTCAAATGACAAGAGCGAACCTGTGCAGATGCACACCCTGTGTTGCTATCACGGGTGTAATCTATCCCCGGTTTATCTCAGATTGATACTGGAAGGTGAACCAATTCTCAGAAGTTTCTGGACAGGTCCCTGTGGAGCCCAGGCCCAGCCTGACTTCAGCTTGGGTCCTGGTGGGAGAAAGTGACACTGAGAGGCCTCTGCTTCTTCCCACAGCTGTCAGTGACTATTTTGGGGGCAGCTGCGTTCCTGGGGCAGGAGAGACTAGTTATTCGCAGTCCCTCTGTCGCCTCTGCCGGGGTGACACCTCTGGGGAGGGCATATGTGACAAGAGCCCTCTGGAGAGATACTATGACTACAGTGGAGCCTTCAGGTGAGGGGCCAGGGGGGGCTGTGGTGGGCGGGGCTACGCGGATGGGGGAGGCTGTGGAGTTGTCCTGGGCTGTGGTGGGCAGGACTCAGCAGCTGTGGGAGGGCCGTGGGATCTCACAGGGCTTGCTAAGTGGGAGGGACTAAGAGGCTGGGAGGCAAGGGAAAACAGTGTGGCTGCTCCCCATCAAAGCGCCCATTATGCAGAGCTGCCTACACTGGTTTATAAACATCAAACCTCGAAGTGCCCGACTGGCTCACAAAGTCAACATGTTTGGTGCGTGGAGAGGAAGGGGCATCTGAGTAAAGGAAACGGAAAAAGCAATGCTTTGGCCACTCCCAGGTTCCCCTCCTGGTGTCTGACGGCCAGGAAGGTTGATGGTGGGCAGGGGCAAGGACTGGATCCTGGAGCTGGCCTGTCTCTGTGATTGGTTCAGGCTTGCACTCCCAGTCAGCCTGCCATGGGTCCACTCGGCCTAACCTCCTGGTCTAATTCCATCAATCTGCCAGGAGGAACCTGGCAAGGCCCCTTCCTCCAGGCCTATCTCTCCCCACCCCCCACCAGCCTGCCTTGCCTGTGCTCCTTGGCCTGACCTAGCTGAAGGCAGTGTGGGGCTCGGAGGGAAGAGCAGACCCAGCCTCCTTCCCCAGACCCTCTGCCATCTGGCCCGTTCTGCCTCCCTCGGAGTCCTCTCCTACGTCACCACCCCACCCAGTCCAGATCCTGCTTATTCCCTGGCTGTGGGGGCCCCCCACAGCCCCTCTGACCTGACTGCCTCAGACCAGGCAGCAAGAAGTTTTGGTATGCCATGAAAAGATCTTCTAGTGTCAGACTTCTGCCTGGCAGCACTGTCCTTCAAGACACCCTGCCTGCCTGCCTGCCGCCTGCCTGGGGCAGCAGCTGCTCTACAAGTCCTGGCTCCCTATGGGCCAGAGCAGGCTGTGTGTACACTGTAAGAAATGTGTGCCCAGTCAGGCACCAGTGTCTCAGGCCTATAATCCCAGGTGCTCAGGAGGCTGAGATCTGAAGCCACCCCAGGCAGAAAATTCTGAGAGACTCTATCTCCAAAATAATCAACAAAAAGGCAGACTAAAAGTGTGGCTTAAGTGGTAGGGCACCAGCTGTGAGAAAGCAAGCCAAGAGGCAAGTTAGAGGAGGAGGAGGAGGAGGAGAAGGCAGAGAGGGAGGGAGGCAGAGAGGGAGGGAGGTGTGTGCCCCCATAGCTATGCCCTGCAGCCCAGGCTGGACTTCCAGAAAAGAGGTAAACGTGGGGCCCAGCGCACAGAGGTCATGGCTTCTCCACAGGTGCCTGGCAGAAGGCGCAGGTGATGTGGCCTTTGTGAAGCACAGCACAGTGCTGGAGAACACAGACGGTGAGTGGGGCCCCTAGACAGCAGCACATGCTCTAGTTTAGATTCTGTTGAGTTTGTGAGTGACCTTAGCAAGTCCTACAGTCTCTGAGCTGTAGCATAGCACTCTTGTGTGTTTCTCCACCTGGGTTCCAACAGCTCTGATACAGCTCTAGAGGTGGCGGGGGACTGAATTCTGCCTCTTGAAGACTGGCATCTGCTTGATTTGCTGCTGTTGTTTGCAAGCTTTGCACTAGACACACCCTCTGGCCCCTCCCTATCACCCTTCTCTTGTTACCTGGAAAAAGCCTTCTGTTTCCCCTGAACAAGGGAGATTGGCCTGTTATATAGGTGCCACTTATTTTTTTTCAATTTTGAAAGAATTGCGCAGTAGAGAAGTTACAAGAGTAATTCAAAGAACTATCTATTCTTGACCCAGATAGGAACTTACTTCTAGCACTTGGTTACACAGATCATTCTTTTATAAATGTGTGTCTTTCTATATATTTGCCTGTCATTTCCCTTGAGTGCTTTAGGATAAGTCTCCTAAAAATGAGCTGTGTTTCCCAACTATAAGTAATTCAATTCAGGAAACAGCACTGATGCTGTTAGGTAATCTCTAAATACCTACTGTCTACTTTCATTAACCGAGTGATGTTTAAGGGGCTGGGAATGTGGCTTAGGGGTAGAGTGCTTGCCTAGCATGCATGAAGCCCTGGGTTCCATTCCTCAGTACCACATGAACAGAAAAAGCTGGAAGTGGCTCTGTGGCTCAAGTGGTAGAGCACTAGCCTTGAACACAGAGAGGCTCAAGGACAGTGCCCAGACCCCGAGTTCAAGCCCCAGGACCAGCAAATTTTTTAAAGTCTTTTAATATCTCTATTCAGTACTGATAGAAAATAAATCTTGTTTTTAAGAAATATGAATTTGGGTGCAGAAAGGGAGAGAGGAAGGATGAACAAATGCAGACACGATACTCAGTAGATACTATGCAGAAAATGAACTATGCAGCTTTTAGGTAGGGATGGGAGAAGGAAACGGGGAAAGCAAAAAAAGGTGGTGACACTGTTCGAAAAGAAATACACTCACTACCTGACCTGTGAAACAGTAGCCCTCTTCATACAGCACTTGATTATAACAATAAAACTATGTTTAAACAGGAAATATGAGCAAGGTGCTGGTGGCTCATGCCTGTAATCCTAGCTACTTAGAAGGCTGAGATCTGAGGATCATGGTTCAAAGCCAGACTAGGCAGAAAATCCCATAAGACTCTTATCTCCAATAAACTACTCAAAGCCAGCAGTGGCACTGTAGCTCAAGAGGTAGAGTGTTAGCCTTGAACACAAAGAGGCTCAGGGACAGCACCCAGGCCTGAGTTCAAGCCCCAAGACTGGCAAAAAAAAGAAAAATGAAATATGAATTCTAATGAAATTTTCCAATAGTGTGGAAAAAACTACTTTATTGAGATAAATGGAAAAAATAGGATGTAAAATTACCTATCAAGTATGTACTCTACCATGTTAAAAATGGTTAGTAAAGGGAAATAGAGAATTAGAAATATACATTTTTGTAGAAAATAAAAATATACAAAGCAAGTGCCAGTGGCTCATATCTGTAATCCCAGCTACTCAGGAGGCTGAGATCTGAGAATTGTGGTTCAAAGCCAGCCCAAGCAGGAATATCCGTGAGACTCTTATCTCCAGTTAACCACGAGAAAACTGGAAATGGTGCTGTGGCTCAAGCAATAGAGCGCTTGCCTTGAGCTGAAGAAGAGCTCTGGGACAGCGCCAGGCCCAGGGTTCAAGCCCCATGACTGGAAAAAAAAAAAAAGTACTCTCTGTCTGTCTGTCTGTCTCTCTGTCTGTCTGTCTGTCTCTCTCTCTCTCTCTCTCTCTGAAAAGGACTTAAAGTAAACATACCACTTTTGTTTACACTATGATTTATTTAGGCCCAAGTCCACACCCCAGTGCTGGGGTTCTGCTCACCTCCCTTCTCCTAAGCTTCCTTCATTTTCTCACTCCATCACACAACTGTGTTTGTATGTGTTGTGCTGTTATCAGAGACCTCATATCCATTGCCAAGAGGAATTGCTGAGAACAGGCCAGTACGTGTCGTCCACTAGTCTCATCCATCTGTGCAGTCACTGAGCTCCCTTCACAATAAATGAGGGATTCCCAGCCTTGCAGCCGTACTCAGCCTTCCCCAGTCTGCTCTCCCGGCCCAGGGTGCCCTCCCCACCCCACCCCTGCCTCATGGGGCTCCCTGTCTGCAGGGAAAACGCTGCCTTCCTGGGGCCAGGCGCTGCAGTCACAGGACTTCCAGCTGCTGTGCAGGGATGGCAGCCGAGCTGATGTCACCGAGTGGAGACAATGCCACCTGGCCCGCGTGCCCGCCCATGCCGTAGTGGTTCGGGCAGACACGGATGGGGGCCTCATCTTCCGGCTGCTCAACGAAGGCCAGGTGAGATTAGCCACCAGATGTGGCACTGGGCCTTCGTATTGCTTAAGGATTACCACCAACATGGAAGGGGTCCCCGAGAACTGTCCCCCAACAAACCCCACTGGGGCAACAGTCAGGTCAGGTGAGAGAGGGACACTGTGCAAGCTGTCAGAGAGAGACACTGGTCAGAGCATGGGGGGGTCACTTAGGGGTCCTTCCTCTAACTTGTGTCTCCAAAGACAAACTAGAACCTCCGGGCAAGTAGCCAAAATGACAGATCGAATATACCTTCAGACCCAACTGGCTGTACTCACTATGCACTAACTAGCTGCAGTGGGCAATGTCTTATCAAGTCAAAGCTTCTAGACCCGCTCCTGCCTTCTGATTTAGTTGATTTAGCCCCAGCCCCATGGCCACTGCCTGTGCTTCCTGCCATCCCAGCAAACAGCCTTGTGACATAGCAGATGAACTGGATATTGATCCAGAGCTGTGAGGCATGGAGGAGGGCAGGCACAGCTGAGACCAGGCCTTGCCTGACTTCAGAGTGGGCATCTGGCCTGTGGTCAGAAGCAGGAAGAGGTGGCAGCTGAGCTGGGTTCAGAAGGATCTGGGCTGGGAAGCCCCCTCACCGCCCATGCCCACTCTTGGCATGCAGCGTCTGTTCAGCCATGAAGACAGCAGCTTCCAGATGTTCAGCTCTGAAGCCTATGGCCAGAAGAACCTGCTGTTCAAGGACTCCACCTCAGAGCTGGTACCCATCGCCACGCAGACCTATGAGGCCTGGCTGGGACCCGAGTACCTGCACGCCATGAAGGGTCTGCTCTGTGACCCCTACAGTGAGTCCTCCTGTCCCTGCTCCAGCCAGCTCCTGCCCTGCCTGACGGCATGGCAGATGTGGCCTGGGGCTGACACCACCTGGGGGACCTGGCACATCCCTCAAGACCTCTAGGACAGCTGTCACTTCCAGTTCTTGGCTGCTGGGGGTTTGGGGAGGAAGATCTCTGTGGTCTGTTATACCCTGAAAGCCCTGCCTTCTCCTGGACCTGTGTTAGAATCCCCAAATCCAATCAACTCTCCCTCCACACCCTCTCACCCCCTTGGCTATCTCCACCCCAAGGCTATAGCCCTACCTCAGGCATTGTCTCTTGCCTGGACTACGGCAGTAGTCTATAAGTGGGCTTCTTGCCCCCAGCCCCCATTCCCGTCTATCACTTCCTCTATGGCCAGATACTGAGTTAGATCCATAGCAGCCACAGTCTGCCTCAGGCCTCACACAGCCATGAACAAAAGTATAGTTAACACTATGAGTGGAGGTAGGAACCAAGGGTTCAGTAACAAACCTCTCCCACCAAGAAAAAGAGCCAGCATCCCCCCCCCCGTTCTGATTCCAAGAGATCCTCATGGAGCTCCCAGCTCTTATGTGCACCCACACAGGGCTTCCCCACTACCTACGCTGGTGTGTGCTGTCCACGCCCGAGATCCAGAAGTGTGGAGACATGGCTGTGGCCTTCAGCCGGCAGAGGCTCAAGCCAGAGATCCAGTGTGTGTCAGCCCAGTCGCCTGAGCACTGCATGGAGCAGATCCAGGTGTGCTGGGGTGGGCAGGGGCGGGCGGCCTGGCCCCTGGGGGGAGAGGAGGGCATCTCCTGTGCCAGCACAGAGAAAGGGGGAGGACAGACCATGCACCCCTGTGCATGGGGGTGGTGGGCTCAGTATCATGATTACTAGATATCTCCCACAGCTGCGGGCTCTCCGATTCATTTCACATCGCTTGCGATCTGCTGTGCAAACCTTCCTTTGGCTGGAGAACCTACACATGCTTTATATAGGGACATGTGATGCTGCTATTTTCTAGTGTCTTCTATGCTTGTCATGACCCTTTCAGTTGCCTTGGCACCCACTCACCACTCCCAGCTAGAGACACAGCTGGCCCTTTCTGGAGCCCTTCTGGGCTTTCTCCTTCTGCCTTCTTGGAGGCTGGGAGGCTCCAGAGGCCTGCGGCAAGCAAAGGACCCATGGTGCTCACAGGTGGGCGGATGAGAGCTGGGGGTTTCTAGTCCCCTCCTGTTGTGTGGGAGGAGGATGAAGCAATCCCCACGCACAAGCCAGAGCCCCTCTCCACCCTCCACACACACTCTAGCCAGAGAACCTCATCAGCTCACAGGCTGAGGAACCTGGACAGGAATAAAATGGGTGACTGGGCTCATGATGATAGTGATGTCATAAGCCAACATTTCCTACATGCCAGCTCTGTGAGACCATCGTACAGGCTGTGTAGGCATCATACAAACCCTACTGACCCCATCTGGCCAAGCTCTCCTGCTTAGGTGGGAAGAAGCACCTTGCCCACAGGCTGACAGAACATGGGGGCTGGGGAAGGCAACTGCTGTGTGCTGAGGCTGAGAGGAGTCCTGATTTCCCAGTGCTTGGCATGCTGGCCTGGGATTGAATGGCTGCTGCCAGTGTGCCCAGAGCTGGGAGGCTTTCTCAGCCTCCTGCATGGTGCTCAATCAAGGTGTTCGGGATGGTGTCCGGTGTGGCTTTAATGTCTCCCTCTGTGCCCCACAGCAACGCAGGGAAGGACTGTGAGTCCAGGCTGTGTCAGATATCCCTAATGTCACAGTGGGGAATGAGGAGGTCTGGAGGGATACTAGAAATGCATCCTGCAGACTCCATGTACCTGTAGCTCCCCCATCACTGGGTACCATGCTGGGTGCCCATCCCTCCCTCCTCAGCCTTTCCCCTTGGGTTTCTCACACTGCAATGACTTGATTACCCTTCACCCCTTTGCAGGCTCCTGGGCCCAGCCATCAGGAGACTTCCAATGATGGGTGAGGTGGGGTGGGATATAGGTGGGGCAGAGTGCAGGTGGCCTAGAAGGCTTGCGAGGATCCCAGGGAGCCTTGTCAGGAGGGGCTACACACCGCAGGTGCTGAAAATGTCACCTTTTCAATTCTAGGTCAGACTTCCACTCGCACCCTCTCTCTAAGGGGACTTTGGTATTTGCAGTCACTCTGTGGGCCAGGCTTGGCAAGAGACCTCAGGTCTTAGGGATGGCAACCTCTGGGGGGAGGGCTGTGCCCAGCAGGAGGGCACACCAGTGCTGTGCTTCGCTCTGAACGGGGACATGCAGGAGAGCCTCAGGAGCAGGAGCATGCCATGTTGGTTGAGGCCACAGTGCCCTGAAGGATCCCACCGTCCTGAGCCCAACCATCCTGCTACTCCCAGCTCAGTCACTCTCTCTGTCCCTGCAGGCTGGACACATTGATGCTGTGACCCTAAGTGGAGAGGACATTTACACAGCAGGGAAGGTGTATGGCCTGGTCCCAGCAGCTGGGGAGCTCTATGCTGGTGAGTTGTGGTGCCCACACCCTGGCTTTGCCAGGTGATGGCTGATGCCTGCATGAGAACGTGCCCCTTGGCCTAATGCAAAAGCTCCAGCTGCCTCTCCATACCTCCCCCTGGGTCTTCTGTTAGCATTCTATTACCAGGCAAACCTCTCCTGCTTCAGGCCTCAGTTTCCCCACCTGTGAAATAAGTACCAATAAGGAGTCAGCAGACTTCCTATACAATGTCTGAGCGTCTGCTTTGGGCTTTCAGACCACAGATGATCTCTGTTGCATGTTCTTTCAAAATTCCCCCTAAAGACCAGGGCTTGGTGGCTCACACCCGGAATCTTAGCCACTTAGGAAGGTGAGAACTGAGGACCAAGGTTCTCAGCCAGCCCAGGCAGACAAGTCCCTGAGAATGGAATCTCTTGTTAGCCAGCAAAAAGCTGGAAAGGGAGTATGGGTCAAGCGCCAGCCTTGAGTACAAAAGCCAAGCAGGAGTGTGGAGGCCTGAGTTCAAGCCCCAGCACTGAAACCAAAGCAAAATAGAGAGTAAAATAGCACATGTAATAGGATAGGATATAATATAGCTCCTCATTACCTTCAAAACTGTTCTTAGCTGGCCACACAGTCTCTTTGGTGTCCTTGGCTTTATGGATCCCTGCCTCTGTGGACTCATTCACACCTCCTCTGTGCCCAGCCTTGGCTTTGGCATTTGGCCTCTTAAACGCTGACCACAGTGCCTTGGAGCCCTTCCACCTGGCCCTGAGGAATCTCTGGGGCCAGGACAACATTTTTCAGGAAGTGAGAAATATACCCCCTGGGTGTGAGGAGAGAAAGAGACCTTTAGTGAAGGGCTATGGAGATGCGGCCAGGGTCAATGTTGTTAAACAACAGAGCCACACAGGATGCTTCTCAGCAGTGGGGTGCTGCTGGACTTACTCCTTGAGGACCCTTGTCCCAGGCCTAGGTACCTCTAGGCCTGCAGAAGTCCTGGAAGGATCCTGACTCTCAAGCAGAAAAACCCAGTGGGGGTGGAGGGAGAGGGTGTAGAGGGCAGGTGGGGAGAGGGTGTAGAGGGCAGGTGGGGAGAGGGTGTAGAGGGCAGGTTCTCTTGGAGATTAGTCCAGGGTATGATAAGGATCCTTTGTGTGATACTCCTCTCCCCTCCCTCCCCCTCCTCTTCCTTTCCCTCCCCTCTTCTTCCTTCCAGAGGACGACAGGAGCAGCTCGTACTTTGTGGTGGCTGTGGTGAGGCGGGACAGCGCCTACTCCTTCACGTTGGACGAGCTGCGTGGCAAGCGCTCCTGCCACGCTGCTTTCGGCAGCCCCTCGGGGTGGGATATCCCCGTGGGCGCCCTCATCCAGAGGGGCTTCATCCGGCCCAAGGACTGTGACGTCCTCACTGGTACCAGCCTGTGGGAGCGCTCTTCCTCGGGGGTGCATGGGAGGGCGGCACTGGAGGTCAGCCCCAAGCTCTCCTCGTCCTGGCCTGGCTCAGCTCTGGGAAGGCTGGGAGACACACTTGCCATGCTAGCAGCAGGCAGCTGTCTCTGGTGGTTCCCTGGAGGGAGCGCGAGCACTGGTGGGAGAGCTGTACAGTGGTCGAGCGGCCTGGCCATTCCCCCTGGCCATTTCTCCACGGGGGCCACTCAGCACAGCTCTTCACCTCTGGTTCAGCCGTGAGCGAGTTCTTCAATGCCAGCTGTGTGCCAGTGAACAACCCCACGCATTACCCTTCCTCGCTGTGTGCGCTCTGCGTGGGGGATGAGCAGGGCCGCAACCCGTGCGTGGGCAACAGCCAGGAACGCTACTACGGCTACAGCGGGGCCTTCAGGTACTCAGGGCGGCTGGGGGCGGTCAGCGGGGCTGGGGGGAGCCCCCTCCTTCTGACGCCCGCCCTGCTCTGCTCTCTCCCGTGGCAGGTGCCTGGTAGAGAAAGCCGGGGATGTCGCCTTCGTCAAGCACACCACTGTCTTTGAGAATACAAACGGTACATGGGAGAGGTTTGGGGCCACAGCAGAGACAAAGTGGGAGTGGGTTTTCTGCCCCCCAGCTTATCCCAGCACAGAATGTGTCTGGGTTTGGGTGTTGAGCAACAGCCGCCAGACACTTGGTCTAGAAGGTTCTGCCCCCGGGACCCAGGAGTTCCAAAGACCACAAGGTAAGAACACACATCAGGTCACATGTCCAGGTGTTCAAGATTACTGGCCTGGAATTCAAGTCCATTGTCCACTGAAATGAAGAGACCCCATCCTGCTCCCTATGGACACCCCTCCAGTTGTGTGTCTGTAGTGCTGAGGGGAGGGGTGACAAGGCCTGTTCTTTGGTCTTGAGCTGATCAGGGTCTCATGCAGGGAAGTCAGGCCACACCAAGACAGCCCAGCCCACACTCACCACACAGGCCATTTTGTTCCCCAAGTTCCTTCCCAGACACTACCTGGGGAAAAGCGTCCAGGTGCTCTGCCCAGGAACCCCTAAAGCCACACCGAGGTTCTCTTAGGGTGCAGGACCTCTTAGCTCTCATCATCTCCTGCCAGCCTAGAGGCTAGTTCCCTAGGACCCAGCTTCTGCCTACCCCGCTATGGCTCTGAACCCCCCAACACCGGAGGCTCAGCCAGATCTACCCTGTCCTAAAACTTCTCTGCCCAGAAAAGCACAGCCGGGCGCAGAGGGGCTGCTGGGACTGGTCGAGGAGAGGCAAGATGCGCAGGAGGAAAGTCAAATCCCATTTGCGGTGCTGTAGCGGTCACTGATGTGGGAGGACTGTGCCCCAACTAGAATGCTCCCTCGGCCCTCAGCTCTGTTCTCTTGCCTCGCCTCCCCCTAGAACTCTTGGAGGGGCTGTGCACCCCCTCAAAAGCCCCACAGCAGCCTGACTGTAGACCTGGCATGCTGTCCTGCGGTGGGGTTAAGAGGACGTTGGGGCTGCAGGTTCTTCTGGAAGATTCACCTGCACTGAGACACTTGCCTCCTGGGGCACCCATTTCCCTGTTATCTTTCACTCTGCTTAGACCCAACCTGGTGTTTCTTCTGGAAAAGGGAGAAGGAAGGACCCGCGGAAATGCACGAAAACACAGAAACAATGAGACTCGTGAGGGCAGAGGTTGCTCTAGCTCCAACTTGCTTCAGTGTCACTGGGGGGGTACTGGCCTAAATTGCAGACTTCTGGTCTCATCCAAGATCAATCCAATGGCATTCTTTTTTTCCCCTGTCGGTCTTGGGGCTTGAACTCTGGGTCTGGGCACTGTCCCTGAGCTCTTCAGCTCAAGGCTAGCGCTCTACCACTTGAGCCACAGCACCACTTCTGGTTTTCTGGTGGTTTATTGGCAATAAGAGTCTCACAAACTTTCCTGCCCGGGGTTGGCTTTGAACTGTGATCCTCAGATCTCAACCTCCTGAGTAGCTAAAATTATAGGCATGAACCACTGATGCCCAACTTCCAATGGCATTCTTTTGCTGTTGTCATTCTTCTTTGTTTTTTTAAAAAACAAAACAACAACAACAACAAAAAAGCTTTTCCCCCAATAGGATTTTTTTTTCAAACTGGAACCCATGCTTGCCAAGAGAATTTGAGTATGAGATTTTCAGCCAATAGGGATCACTTGGCACTCAGGCCCAAGAGTGTGACCACCAGATGGGATCCCTTGCCTAGGACTGAATAGGAGCCTTTCTCTCCTTAGAAAGATGGGGTGTTAGCCAGGCACTGGTGGCTCACGCCTGTAATCCTAGCTACTCAGGAGGCTGAGATCTGAGATCGCAGTTCAAAGCCAGCTCAGGCAGGAAAATCTGTGAGACTCTTTTCTCCAATTAACCACCAGAAAACTGGAAGTGGCATTGTGGCTCAAGTGGTAGAGCACTCACCTCGAACTGAAGAAGAGCTCAGGGACAGCGCCCAGGCCCAGAGTTCAAGCCCCATAACCACCAAAATAAAATAAAAAGTCAGCCCAGGCAGGAAAGTACATGAGACTCTTATCTCCAATAAACCACCAGAAAACCCAAAGTAGTGCTGTGGCTCAAGTAGTAGAGTGCTAGCCTTGAGCTAAAGAGCTGAGGGTCAGCAGCCAGGCCCAGAGTTCAAGCCCCATGACTGACAAGAAATAAAAGAGAAAAAAGATGGGGTGCTAATACCCACCCAGTATCACCACCGTGGAGGGTCAAGCAGGAACTACAGAGCACCTGTCACATAGCAGGTGCTCCTAGCTCCCCACCAATGGAAGCTCCACATCATCACTTGGGTCCAGCTGGGTTCTGTCACCCTGGTAACAGAGAGGAGCACTGGGAGGGGGCTGGGGAGCAGGTCAGACACTGCCACCTTGTCCCAGCAAAGGGCTGGAATTTTTCTCCCACTTCTTACTCCCTTTTTTTTTCTCTCAGGCCACAATCCCGAGCCTTGGGCTACTGGACTCAAGTGGCAGGACTATGAACTACTTTGCCCCAATGGGGCCCGGGCCGAGGTGAACCAATTTGAAGCTTGCAACCTGGCACAGATCCCCTCCCATGCTGTCATGGTGCGGCCAGACACCAACATCTTCACTGTGTTTGGACTGCTGGACAAGGCCCAGGTGAGCCAGGGCAGGGCCTGCCTCACCTGCCTATGCTGAGGGGTAGCACCGGTGAGCAGGCCCCACCCTGAGAAGCCTTTGCCTAGTGGAGCAGCCCTCAGGGGAAACTGGGAGCTGGGGAAAACTTCTAGGCTTTTTGATCAACCAAGGACATTCCTTTGGCAACAGCCCCTCTGTCTCTGACATCATTGATTCTTCCTCTCAATTAGAGAGAGCTTCTCCCCAGTGCCCACACATGCTCTTACTTCTCCATCTGTAAAGAGTGAAACAAACTAACCTCAGTGTCACACCCTCTTGTGGCCTTAACTGCCCCATCCCCTATTTTTTGGTCCTGGGGCTTGAACTCAGAGCCTGGGTGCTATCCTTGAGCTCCTTTGTCCATACCAAGCAAATATTCCTCCACATTCTTTTTTTCTTTTTTTGGGGTCCAGTCCTGGGGCCTGAACTCTGGGCCTGGGCACTGTCCCTCAGCTCTTCAGCTCAAGCTAGCGCTCTACCACGTGAGCCACAGCGCCATTTCCAGCTTTTTTCTTTTTGCTTATGTGGTGCTGAGGAATCGAACCCAGGGCCTCATGCATGCAAGGCAAGCGCTCTACCACTGAGCCACCTTCCCAGCCCCTCCTCCACATTCTTTTACAGCAGAACACTTCCAAAGGGCTTTCTACTAGAGAGCCATTAGTTCTTTCTGGCCTCGCTTAAGGAAGGAGAACATTCCCAAACTGCCCTTGTCAATGTCCCTGTGACGGTGTTGCTAAATCCAGTCGCTGCTTCTGTCTCATTGTACTGGACAACTCAATAGCACTGGCCACAGTTCCCTCCAGAAGTTCAAGTCCCTCCTTCTGGAAGCATGTTCCCTGGTGGCTCCCACGTTCTCTCACCTGCCTGGCTCTCCTCCCACATCTTAGCCTCTCCTTCCCACTGTCCTTTGCTGGCTTTTTCTGTGATTAATTGGAGATCAGAGTCTTAGGTTCATAGTTCAAAGCTAGCCTAGACAGGAAAGTTTGTGAGACTCTTTTTTTTTCTTTATATATTTAACTGTATTTTGGGGGGAGGAGTAATGGGGATTGAACCCAGGATGTTGCACTTGCTAGGCAAGTGCTTTGCCACTGAGCTATATTGCAACCCTGTGAGACTTATCTCCCTTTTTAAGCCATAGCTCCACTCTGGTTTTCTTATGGTTAATTGGACATAGGAGTCTCACAGATGGAATGTGGCTTAGTGGTAGAGTGCTTGCCTAGCATCCATGAAGCCCTGGGTTTGATTCCTCAGTACCACATAAACAGAAAAAGCTAAAAGTGGCACTGTGGCTCAAGTGGTAGAATGCTAGTCTTGAGCAAAAGAAGCTGAGGGACAATGTCCAGGCCCTGAGTTCAAGTCCCAGAACTGGGGGAATAAAAACTCTCATGGACGGGCTGGGAAGGTGGCTCAGTGGTAGAGCGCTTGCCTTGCATGCCTGAGGCCCTGGGTTCGATTCCTCAGCACCACATAAGCAAAAAGAAAAAAAAAACTCTCATGGACTTTACTGCCTGCTCTGGCCTCAAACCACAATCCTCAGATCTCAGCCTCCTGAGTAGCTAGGATTACAGGCATGAACCACTAAGGCCTGGCTAAGAAACACCTTTAAAAAGACTGATAGCAGGTTTTGGTGTCTTGGAGTTTCGTTGCTCATGACCATCAGTCAAGTCAAATGAAAAGCAGTCCCGTGTGGCATTTGCAGGACCTGTTTGGAGATGATCACAATCAGAATGGGTTCAAAATGTTCGACTCCTCCAAATACCACAGCCAAGACCTGCTCTTCAAGGATGCTACAGTGCGGGCAGTGCCTGTCAGAGAGAAGACCACGTACCTGGACTGGCTGGGGCCTGACTATGTGGCGGCTCTGGAGGGCATGCTGTCTCAGCAGTGTTCAAGAGCAGGTATGACCGCAGCTGCTGGGCGGGCCACTGGGACAGTGCTGTTGACAGAGCCTGCCACATGTCGCTGGCATTGGTTAGACCCTTTCCCCTGAAACCCTGAGGGAGCTCAGGGGTGACACAGAGCAGGGGACTCCACCTCCCAAACCAGCCAGATGAAATGTCCTGGGAGGGTCCAGAGAAACAACGCTGTGGACAGTGGAAGTAGGGACACTGGCTGCGTCACCAAAATAGACCTGGATAATGAACATAAATGCTGAAAATGACACTCCACAGAGGATTTGAGGTAATGCCATCAATATTCATGTGGCAGCAGTAAGAGAGGAATATGTAAAGTAGCCAGGGAAAGGAACACTGTTTGGGGGTAGAGAAAGAAGGCAAGCTGAGAGCCCAGAAATAGCGCTGCTGAGGCCCAGGCTGGGTCTCAGCCTGCACCCATGGGTGGCCCAGGGCCTCCCAGCCCTAACTGCCTGTTTCTCCCCCAGCTTCGCAGGCCCTTCTGCTGCCACTGCTTCTGCTGCCCCTGGCTGCTGGCCTTGTCCCATCTGCCCTCTGAAAGGCAGGGGGACCCCCACATGGACATCAGAACCCCACAAACGGGCTGCAAAACCAGCTAGCACTACTAGAGAAACACATGATGGAAGAGCAAGTGTGAGAAAGCACACATGCAGTTCCTCCATGTGTGATTCCGATCCAAAGAGAAGTTTTTGGAACCAAGATGAATGTAAAGGCAAAGTCCCCCCCCCACCACCTGAGCCAGGCTGGCACCACCCCCGGGCCGCCTGGTCCTGGCTACCTGAGGCGACTGGCACCTGGCCCAGTCATACCACCCAGGCTGGCTTCCCACAAACCTGCAGCCTCCCACCTGGAGCCTCCCCAGATGGGGCTGGGAAACAGGCCCGTTGCCAAGGAAACAGCTGCGCCCTGCTTCCCACAGGGGGCCTGTGTGCACTGCAGGCCTGGGGAGGTGTAAGGGGACCCCTGTGTCTCCCTGTCCCCCATACCCTTCCTAGAGCCCCTAGGGAGGAAGAGATTTTTCCAGGCTCCAGAAGAAAGGAAAGCAAAGAGCTGGTGGCTAAGGGTAAAGTCCTCCCTGGACCCCAGGGGAAGGAAAAGCTCCTCAGTAGGCAGTTCAGTATTTACAGGGGGGGGGGGCGATGGGTGCAGGGCTGCCTGAACCACAGCTGCTGGAAGGAAGTGCCTGGTCCTGCAGGGAATTTAGCCCTGATGGGGTAGCTGGTCCCTGGATCCCCACCCCAAATTCTTCACCTGGGCTCAGTCTCATGTCATCTTCCCTTGCCCACTGTGACCGCCACCATCTTCAAGTCTACTCCTGAATGCCTGTCCGCCTGGGCCTGGAGAAGAAAATGGCCTGGGCCACTTCCACAAGTAGCAAAAGGCCCCTGAAGCCCTGGCCCACTTCCTCTGCTAGCCCTGTGCCTACTGGACCAAGGAGCCACTCACAAGGGAAAACGCCAAGACCGCCTAGCTGGCAGGACACCCAGAGAGGGCTCTGGATGTCTCTGAAGAGCCAGAAAAAAAAAAAAAAAAGTTTTTCCAAACGGCTAGCTCTTACTCCAAATTCTGCCTCCTTTAAAAAAAAAATAACTAAAAAGAAAGAAAAGGAAGAAACAGGAGCATGCAGCCCGCATCAGCTGTGTGGGCCTGGAGCTATTTGTGTCCTGGTGTGCGGGGGCCTCTGGATGCTGATGACAGGCCGGGCTCCCTGTGACTCGCCCCCACCTGTAGGCGGTGGGCCGGATCTCTTCCATTTCTCAGCATCATCGGAGGAGGCCTTGGCAGACACCTAGCCCTAGCCACACCGCCCCCAGGAGTCCTCATCTTCATGCAGGGACAGCCCTCACCCCACTGCTCAGCCTTGGACCCATTTCCCCTGACACAGCCAATGATTCTTCTCTGACCTAATGATTGTTTGATTTTTTCTGAAAGGATTTGTGTGTGTATGTGCAGAGAGAAGTGACATTCTATGTGACGACTCTGGGCTAGTGTGATGCTCAGGGTACAGGGTGTGACAGCCATGTTATGTGTGGCCGAAGGTGTGACTTGCATGAGTGCCATGTGGTGGCTGATTCTTTATTGGTCACTAATGATGGATGTCGATTTGTTGTTGTTGTTGTTGTTGTTAATAAAGCCAAACAAGCCTGCACATGCAAAGGCCTAGATTCCAATAGAAACTTCCACTCTGTTTTCTTCCTTACTCAAAAGGCCTACCTGCATAACAACCAACTACTCTTGTCTCACCCACGATAGCAGATTCCGTTCAGCGCTCTGACATCTGAGAGCCAGCGACCACTCTGGGGCTGTAGCCAGTGAGGCCCCCCCCCCACCCTCTTCTTCCATCTGGTTCTCTGCTCCCCCCCCAACCCCCAAAGTGCCTCAGCCATCCCTGGTAAGTCTCAGCTGCCTCCACCCCCTCAGCCTCTCTGCATTCTCTCCTCTGGGGACGTGTGCAGAGGAGGATGTGAACATCTCCATTGCCCCCTGCCCTGTGTTTCCAAAATAAACCACCCACACCTTTTCTTTGGCAAGCTGGCTGCTAGCTCCCTGGCAGGGGTGGAAGAAGGAGAGCAGATCATCAGAGTCCAGGTGCTCTCCAGTCTGTGCTGAGGGTCCCCAGCTGTTCTGGGGCTCTGCTTCCCTCAGCAAGTGGAAGGTCTCTGTGCACCTCTCTCCTGGGCTTCTGTCCTGCACTCTGTCGCTGGACTTCCCTTTCCTCCATCACTACCACCATCTCACATAGCTGGATCTTGCCACCAATCCACCCAGGCCTTCATCATGGGTGGTCCATCCACGATCATTAAGCCAGGAGATGCAGGGGGACAGAAGTGGCGAATGTGAATGGGCCTTGTCTCTGTATCCCTTGACTCACTTGCAGCTACCCAATCTCTCCAGCTCCCCTCCTGCTGCTGCTCCCCCACCATACCCTGAAAACTTGGAGAAGGGAAAGGCAATCCTTAGAAGCCCTGCTCTGTAAGAGCCAGAGTCAGGGACCACTCTGGACTTACAGATGTGCTTTTCAGACCTCGTGTGCATGGAGAATCACCTGGGAATCTTGTGATTCTGCAAATTATGATTCAGAGCCAGGGACAGTATCCACACCTATAATTCTAGTTATCTTGGAAGTGGAACTCAGGAGGATTGAAGTTCAAAGCCAGCTCAAGCAAAAAGTTTATGATACCCCATCTCAACCAATTAAAAGCAGTACAGGATCCCTATGCCTATCATCTAATAGGAACAGAAACAGGAGGATCAAAGTCCAGGCCAGATGAGGCAAAAAAGTAGTGTCAGTTCAAAAAATAATGGCATTAAAAAGGGATGGAGGTGTTAACACAAGGGGTCAAATGTCTGCCTAGTGAGGTCAAGGTCCTGAGTCTGAACCCCAGCACCAACCAAAAGAAAAGACAAAAATGACTCAAAAACAAAATACAGAGCTGGGGGAAGGTGAGTCAAGTGATAGAGCATCTGTCTGTCCCATGGCAGGCTCTCTCTCTGACAAGTAGGCCATGGTGTCTACTGCACATATGGAAGGCCCACTGGGTGCAGGAGGCAGCCCAGATGTGGAGAGATGGGTGGGCTCCAGGGTAAGAACCTCCTCTCTCTGTGCCTCCTGGCCAGTCTGCCAAGCAGAAGGGCAGGGCACATGAATGCTTTCTTGATCTGAAAGGCTTACACATCCAACCACATGATAAATGGACCTCTGTTGGTACTTTTTTCCTGTGCCCCACAAATGGTGGGAGTGGCCAGCCTGTTGCGCTCACAGCCCTGGGCTCAAAACTCTGAAAACACGAAGAAGTATAAGGCCTGCAAGACTTGTCCTGGGATTGTCTGGAGAGGCCACTGAGCTGATGTGATGAAGAACCAGGAGCCTTACCATTACTAGTCTGGTGCTCTACCACTTAAGCCATGCCTCTATCCCTGCTTTGTGCTGGTTCTTTTTGAGAAGGAGTTTAACAAACTTTGCACTCAGGCTGGTCTCCTGAGTAGCTAGGCTTGCAGGTATGAGCTTAACCACCTGGCCTGAACCTGGGCTGGCTTTGAACCCTTGATCTTCCTGCCTTTTTCTTCTGAATAGCCGAGTTTACAGACCTCCACTACATCTAGATTCCAGGTTTTCTTTAGGTGTTTACAATGAGGCCGCTCTCATTAGGCTCACTCTGGAGCAGAAAACACAATGGGTATAAATGCTACCATGCTTTGTTTCAATTAGGAAACATATCCCATTCATAGATTGAGAAAAATTAGATTCCAATTCTACTCCTGCTATTTATCTTGGGCACACACTTGTTCTTCTCTCAATCTAGTCAAGTAGTAAGTGATCAAATGGGAAGTATGGATGGTCCCTGAAGAGTTTCAGTTAACAATTTCTTTCATCAAGAAAATCCAATCTTATCTCCTCAGAAGGCTAAGATCTAAGGATCATAGTTTGAAACCAGTCTGGGCAGCAAAGGCCTTGAGATTCTTACTTCCAATTAACCACCAAAAGGTCTTAAGTGGAGCTGTGGTTCAAGTGGTAGAGTACTAGCCATGAGAAAAAAAAATCCCAGAGACAGCATCAGGCCCTGAGTTCAAGCCCCAGGACCACAACATACACAAATGGAATTAGCACACACCTATAATCCTAGCATTTCACCAGTATGAGGTCAACTTAGGCTACAAAAAAAATTAAAGAAAGCTTTACAGAAGATATACTTTTTAATTATATTAAGTGAAGTAAGCCAGACTCAAAGAAACATAGGTCCCATGGTTTCCCTTATCTGCAATAACTAGTATATGTCTAGGAAAAGCAGAAGAGGTCAAAGCTATGTACATATGACCAGATAACCTGATGCTAAATGAAATGAACCCCAAGATAGGGACACAAGAGATTTTATCTTTCTTGTTCTTTTTAATGTACTTACAATGTACTATGTGATTCTTTTTGTTTCTTTGTATGTTCTTCCCCCACAGTACAACCCCTGTTGTCATTGTATTTGATTCCAGTGTCCTGCATCTTGTATATATATTTTTCTAATTTGGTGAGGGGAAGGGAAATAACGAAATACTGAAATAAGGATACAGGATGACCCATTGTAACAATGAGACATACAAGACATTATGTTGAACATGAACTTTACAACTTTGCAGAGGGGGAAGGGAGGAGTTGGGGAGGTAAAGAGGAAAGGGATGGGGGCTGGGAAGGTGGCTCAGTGGTAGAGCGCTTGCCTTGCATGCCTGAGGCCCTGGGTTCGATTCCTCAGCACCACATATGCAAAAAGAAAAAAGCCGGAAGTGGAGCTATGGCTCAAGTGGTAGAGTGCTAGCCTTGAGCTGAAGAGCTGAGGGACAGTGCCCAGGCCCATAGTTCAGGCCCCATGACCGGACCCAAAAAAAAAAAAAGAGGAAAGGGATGGTAGAGGAAAAACAAAGGAGGGGGTAACAATGCTCGACAGGAAATGGACTCTACCTTGCTCATGTCACTGTAACCCCTCTTACAGCATCTTTACAATAAAAAAATATATTAAAAAAAAAAGAGGGGCTGGGAAGGTGGCTCAGTGG